TATCTATCATCTATCTATCTATCTATCTATTATTCTAGGACAGTGACTGTAACTCTTTCCTGAGTCACAAGTACTCTTAATGGCTTTAAAATTCTGGTTACTGTGTGGCTGAGCAGGCAGATTCCTACAGACACATTGAGTTTGGCCTGGCGTGATATGTTGGCTTTGTTGAAGTATATGGTGGAAATCTGGCATTACAGGGTTGTTTTGGAAAGGGCACACTGTGTTAATGACCGCCCCGTTGGGTAATTCTGTCCACTATCCAAACCTCAGCTAGAAGTAGTTTCACAAACATGAGTCCACATGTTTTTTTTTTTTTTTTTTTTTTGTAGTGACAAACCCAGCTTGTTTTTTTTTCAAGCAGACGCCTGGTAAATTAGAACTAGATTTCTCTAAAGCAAAAGAAACATTTCATGCTGCAACATAAATCACAACACAATTATTTCACCGGGAACACCTGTAATACTTCTGCATGCAGGAGAAGTGCTTTTGACACTCTCCCCAGCTAGTCACCTAAGGACATGGTAAAGAGCCATACCGGCATGCTGAGATTTAGTGACTGGTGGGTTAATGCTTCATCAGGAGCAGGCTCCAGTGAATCTGTGTGTAGGAAAACGCTCAGGTTGGTGAACAGTCCCTTTAAACTCCCCCCCTTCTCTGTCTCAGCAGGGTCTTGCTATGTAGGACTTCAAACTCATGATCTTCCTGCCTCAGCATCCGGAGGGCTGGGATCACAGAAGTGTGTTACAACACAGAAGAGTGTTACAACACAGTGCTCCCTTCCATCCTCTCCTTCTCTTCTCGCCTCTCTTCTTTTCTTTCATTCACTTACCGTGAACACAATGGTGAAAAAATACATTGACCTTTGGGTGCAGGTTGGGGTCATTGCCTTGCCTTGACTTAAGATGCTGACAATTTGACCCAGTATTACATTTCATTATCAGTGTGAATGCCCATACAGCGAGAAAGGCAAATTATGTCTTTAATGTTGTTGTGAATACTTTTGCTCTCACAGATTCCCTAAAACTGTTCCCAGGACATTGTAGACCACCTTCAGGAAGGTGAAAACAGAGGGAATGAAAGGCTCCATGTGACGAGAGTGATGCTTCCTGACATTGATAAGATGCTGTGTCCTACAAGTGTCCTGGCATGTGCCCACTGTCCTCCTCTTTTGTCTTGACCACCCACGGTGCCCCCAGAGAATGTCTTTGGGAGCCCCCAGCACTGAGAAGGCATCTTTTCTTGTTCTGCCACTGGCTCCTGTAGATGGTTCCTGTTTTTTCTTGCAACTGTAATGATTTGGTAATGAAAACACTGGTATATGCTTCAGAATGCTGAAGAAATATGGCTGACCGGAAGTAGATATGCTTCTGCTTATGGTCCAAAAGGATCTCTTCCTTAATGGGGCTGTATTAGTTACTTTGAACTGTAGCTAGAGTTTTCCTGCCTTGCCCACAGTCAGGACAAATCTCCGTCACCCGCCAATTCCACAGCTGCTCAGACCCAACCAAGTAAACAAAGAGACATATTGCTTACAAACTGTATGGCCATGACAGGCTTCTTGCTAACTGTTCTTATAGCTTAAATTAATCCATTTCCATAAATCTATACCTTGCCACGTGGCTCGCGGCTTACCGGCATCTTCACATGCTGCTTGTCATGGTGGCGGCTGGCAGTGTCTCCTCCTGCCTTCCTGTTCTTTCTTTTCTCCTCTCTGTTAGTCCCACCTGTACTTCCTGCCTAGCCACTGGCTAATCAGTGTTTTGTTTATTGACCAATCAGAGTAATTTGACATACAGACCGTCCCACAGCATTGAACCTTTTTCCTACACTTCGTTTTCTTTGACTGGGAACTGGGAAGTTGGGGGAAGTTCCTGATGTTCTAGGTTGGCCACGGAAACAGCCTGCAGGACAGCCTTCCCTTAGCCCTGCCATGGGCAAACCTGTAAGGAATCTTTGAACTGTGAGTCTAGGGGGCTCCCTTCCAAACTCCTGAGGGCTTGTTTGTACAAACACATAGCACATGTCAGCCTGAGTTGAGTGTCCAATTTCTTGTCATGCTCATCTGTTGAGGCCCAAGACTCTGTATGGTAAGAAAAACTACTTACCTTTGAGAATGGGTAACTAACAGGACTAAATATACTTGGTGAATTGTGAGTTAACCATGCTACAATAAGCCTTTATTCACATCTAAAGTTCTGTTTGGGTTCTGCAGGTTTTAGAAGAATTGTATCAGACCCATAAACTTTGGCAGGCTCCTAAGACTGTCCAAGACTGGTTGTTGTTGTCTTTAAGTTTATCTGTTTATTAACAACACTATTTACCAAGGGCCTCCAATGAGCTAGTGTTGTTCTAGACCTGGGGATGGAGCAGTGAATAAAATAGACACAGTCTCTGGATTCATGAAGCTTCTAGTCGAAAAGGAAAAAAAAAACATGATGAAAATCCAAGCATACGCACTAATTTTAGATAAGAGAATGGCTGGCAGAGAAAGCACAGTATGCTGAGACCATGACAGTGAGAAGGAGTCAGAAGAACTGGGTAGTGGATAATCTGAAGCAGAGCGGCGGTAAAGCCCAGAGACCCAAGGTGGAAAGGCTTGCCGCTGCAGTTCTGAAGAACAGAAGGAGGGTGACGTGGCATAATGGCAGTGAGTGAGAGAAAGCTAGCTGACGGTGACAACTGAAGCCATGTGTGGTCTCTTTATCTTGTTCGGACAC